TCTTCCTCTTCCACTCCCCAGGAGGAAAGGAAAGGGGAAATGGAGCCAGGCTCTGGCTCTGAGGTCTTCGTTGTCCTGGCAGCAATGCCCGCCTCTACTTAGACTTCCACTTCGCCAGGGAAGTTCCCAAACTGTCTATATAGCGGGTGGGTAGGGGCCAGTAAGCCAGCTGTCCCAAGGCTGATGGCGTGGGCCACTGAGCCCTGAATGACAGAAGAACTCAAAATGTACCATCCCGGGCCAGTCCCTGCCCTCCACCCAGAACACTGATTGGACTCTGCATTTGGGTCACATGCGGGCCTGACCTTCCTGGGCCAGGGTCCCGCCTGACACTGTACCGTGAGGTGACAGGAGTGGCTACCTTAATGAAGTGCAGGCGCTGCACATGTGGCATTGCTAATCCTGTTAAGTTCTGTGCAGTGGGTACTCTTCTCTTCCCACTTTACAGATAAGGAGACCGAGGTGCAGAGACTCCATGATGTGGTCAAGGGCACCCAGCCTAATAAGGAATGGGCCTTCAACTCCAGGTCTGATCCCGGCCCCAAAACCTGCACCCCTATCCTCTGTCCCTGTGGGACCTTATAAGCTGCCAGACTGGCCAACTTACTAGACATGACTTGTGGCCAGGCACTGGGACCTGGGCCTCCAGGGCTCCAGGAGAGACAGCTTTGACACTTGAGTTTAGCCATGGAGTGAGGAGGGCGCTGCCCCAGGGTCCGGAGAGGTCAGGGAGCCTGTAGGTGAAGGCAGCCTTGTTCAGGAGGTGATATCTGAACTAGTCTCCGATGGCTTGTCGAGGGAGGAGCTCACTGCAGAGTGAGGACACAGGGCGTGGAGGTGCAGGAGGGAGACTGACTGCGGAGTGTCCCTGGAGCAGACAGTGGTCAGGAGAATGTGGGGGTGGGGGGTAGTCAGCCCCAGAGCAAGTGCGGAGGGCTGGGGTCCTGCTGAGGGAGCAAGTCATCCTCCTGGATCCTCCTTATCAGAGTGGAACTCACTTCGAGTCTTCTCCTTGCAAGTTCCCCTTGCCTATGCAGGGGGTGCCTGGGCTCTGGGTAGGCAGGATCCCAGCAGAGGGCGGAGTCCAGCTCAGGAGAGAGACTGGGCCCTGAGGCTGCAACCCCAGCTCGCAGTGAGCATCTGTGCACCTGCGCACGCGCCACCCAGAAACCGGGCTTTGAAGAAAGAGCCAACAGGGTTTGCTGATGGTTTGAGTGGGAAGGGGGATGTGGCTGGGTTGCCTCTGGATTCTGTGGGGTCTCCTGACGCCTGGCCACTCTGTGAAAAAGGCTCTGGGACAGCTATGTCTGTGCTTAGCAGGGGAAGCCCATGTGTCTGGGGTCAGCTCTGCCCCTCTTGGCTGGGGACTAGGGCAGGTCTCAGAGCTTCAGTCCCCTCCTTCCCACAACAGGGTCGTCATTGTGGCCTCTGGTAGGGGCTGTGAGTATTACTGGAGGAATGTCTGCAGGGTGCCAGCTCGGACCACTGCCAGCAGCTTTGTTCTCCTGCACCACTGGTCTGGGTTGGGTGCAGGCACAGCCAGGGCCGACCTCCGCTACCCCTCTCCCCGTGCCTCTGCCTCCCCCCTGTGGCTCTCCAGGAACCCAAGCACTAGCAGGGCCTCCCAGGGCCTTCTCGATTCAGAGCATTCAGCCCTGGCCTGAAGCATCTCACCGGGAAGCCAGAGCTGAAGACTTCCTCCCAAGGAGAGGCAGGGAAGTAATGATCGGGTAGCCCCACACAGCCGCCACCTGTGCTGGAACCGTCTGGGCCATTAGGTCGTCCAGGTCGTTTCCTTGTGACACTTGTATGAAGCGGGTGCTGTTAGGTGCATTGTGCAGAGGAAGAGACCGCGGCACCGTGGGGTGAGTGGCTGGTGAGGAGGGAATCTAAGGTTGGACCCTTCTCTGGCTCGGAGTCCAGGTCTCTCTGGGCTTCACTGAGGCCTCCTTATTTGTACTATCAGGGACCCCATGGCGTGTGGGGCTAAGCCTTTCCTAGTGCAAGCCTTTCCTGAGGAACTAGAGGCGAGACCAATCTTCAAGAACTTGTGCCTTCTATCCCCCCGGCCGCAGGAGAGAATTTTGAGTCCACGCTGCCCAGAAGTGTGGGTCATTTCTGGGTGTGGACGAGACTTTTCCCCCTCCGCTGGGACAAACAGCACGGCCTGGTGGGAGAAGCTCTAGCTGGAACTGTGCGGGGCGGGCCGGCCTCTCTCTGAGGCTGAGAGGTGGGAAATGGGGGGGCTTCAGGCAGCTGTCGGCAGTGTCTGCCAGCCTTCATCCTGTGGGGCCAGGTGCCAGGCACTGTTCCAGGCTCTAGACACTTGTCTCCTTTGATGCCCGGACAGCCCAGGGTCAAGACGGGTGTCCCCCTCTTAACAGATGGAGCAGCTGAGGCCTGCACAGCGAGGAAGTGGTAGTGCCCACATCATGGACTCGCCTCGACTGGGCCATGGGGAGCCGCTGACCTTCTGGCCTGGGGTGTGACCAAGGGCTGGTAAGGGCCTCTCTGTCCCTGTCACCTAAGACCTGCAGGAGTCGGAAATGGGGCAAGAGGGCTCAGTCATTACGCTGCTCCCCTCTTCCATCAGCATAGAGGGGCAGCAGGTGCTGTTCCTCGGCCAGGAGCTTGGATCTGCAGGGGCTGGGCACAGGTGGGAAGGGCAGTGTCCGAGATCTGACCTGGCTCTCCCCAGGCCCTGAGCTGTGCAGGAAGCCAGGTCGGCCCCCACTGTCTGGGATCCACCTTTTTTGGAGCTGGAGCAGCTTGGCCCTTTGTATTGGTGAGGCAATCAGACTGAGGGCTGGGGAGTCCTGGGTCACACCTCAGGTCAACTACAGAGTCCAGGCTTGTCAGGGTGGTGTTTCTGCGGTCACTGTGACTTATTCTAAATCCCACCGCCACTCATCTCTCTCTCTCTTTCTTTCTTTCTTTCTTATTTTTTTTTAAGAATTCTTTTTTACTGGGACCAGCAGTTAGCATAATGGCTATGTCGCTGGATTCCCATGAAGTTGACTGCGGTTTGAGTCCCAGACATGGTGGTTTAAAACTCACTCCGGGCGCATGTGCATGCGTGCCCAAGATCCCGAGAGGAGAATGGAGGAGAAGGGATTGCGGCGTGACCATCCCCCCTGGGGGGTGATTTCTCGCTTTCTGTCTCTCTGTCTCTCTCTGTCCGCCTGGTGAGTGCATGCGCCGTATAGCAAAAACCTCTCCCCCCCAAAAATTTTTTTAATTTAACTTTCTTTATTTCTTTATTTACAAATCATTTGACCAGAAAGAGACAGAGTGAAGGAGAGAGTGAGAAAGCAAGCTGCCAGGTTCTAGGCTTGAACCGCAGTTGGCCATGTGGAAGTCCAACGCCCTTAACCGCCATGCCACCTGCCGGCCCCTCATCTCAGTCTTAAGGAAAAGTCTGCAGCTTGTTCCTTCTCAGGCAGCACTGACCAGGCCATTGCCCTGCTTCCTCCTGATATTCATGTAAAGACCAGCCCTGGGAAGGGCCAGCAGGTGGTGTAGTGGTTAAGGATGCTGGACTCCCACATGGCCGACCATGGTTCAAGTCCCATACTTGGTGTCTTGCTTTCTCACTTTCCCTTTCTCTCTCCCTCACTCTGTCCCTCTCTGGTCAAATAAAATAAATAGATAGATAGATAGATGAAGTTAAATAAAATAATTCTACCAAAAAAAAAAAAAAAAAGGACCAGCCCTGGGAAATAGGAATTCTTGTTGCCTTTTTTATTGTGGTAAAACATACATAACGTTTACTGTTTTTTGTTTGTTTGTTTTTCTTTTTTAGAGAGATTTTTTTACTATAGGGTGTGTGTGTGAGACAGAGAGACAGAAAGCAAGAAATCACCTCTGAGGGGGGTGGTCATGCCGCAGTCCCTTCTCCATTCTCCTCTGGGGAGTTTGGGCACACACGCACACGCGCCCATCGTGAGTTTTACGCTGCTGGGTCTGGGACTTGAACTGCAGTCGACTACGTAGGAGTCCAGCAACATAACCAGTATGCTATCTGCCGGTTCTAGATTTACTGTTTTAATCATTTAAGTGTATAGTTCGGTGGCATTAAGTATATTATTATTGTGTTTTAAAATATTATTTGTTATTATTTTTAAATTGATCAAGAGAGAATAGAGGGGAAGTGAAAAAGCAAGCTGCTAGGTCCAGGACTTGAACCATGGTCAGCCATGTGGGAGTCCGGCACCTTAACCACCACGCCACTTGCTGGTCGATTATTGCCTTAAAAAAAATTATTTGAAAATTGACTCATCCATCTTTTCATGAGAGAGAGGGTGGGTGGGTCTTCATCTGTGTCCCACCCCCATCCAGCCCATATCACAGGCACAGGCGTGTGTGCGCACGCCCAGAGTCTTCAGAGAACCGTGGAGGAGGAAATGTGGTGTGGCCATCCTCCTTGGGGGGTGATTTCTCACTTTTCCTCTCACACACATGCCTTATGGCCTAAAAGAGAAGAGAATCTGGAGGGAAAAATGCAGGCGAGGAAACTGAGTTGCAGAGTGGTTATAGTTTACACAGTTAGGAAGGGCACGGTCTGAGATGTGAATCCTGACCTCAGAGTCCCTTTCTTTTCCCACTATACTAGCTACCTCTTGAAAACCCCATTGTGGGGCCAGCAGATGGTGTGATGGTTATGTCACTGGACTCTCATGTGATCGACCGCTGTTCGAGTCCCGGACCTGGCAGCTTGAAACGTGCCAGGAGCGTGTGTGCCTAAAATCCCAAAAGGAGAATGGAGGAGAAGGGACTGAGGTGTAGCCATCGCCCTGGGGGTGATTTCTTGCTTTCCCTCTCTCTGGAGAGTGCATGCGCCCTGTATCAAACAGCTCTCAAAGAACAAAAAACCACATTGCAATTTGCTACCAGTGTTACCTGGGGCCAGAGAAGGCCCAGGAAAGAAGTCCCCACCCCTCCCTTTGCTTCCAAAACACCGTGAATAATCCCCTGTGCCCAGACACTTGTCTGGTCCGCCCTCGCCACGCCTCCCAAGACAGTGAGCCTCCAGGTCCCGCCTCCCTCCTCCCCACTCTCCCAAGCCCTAGCAGCTCAGCTTCACAAGCACAGGGTGTCAGGTCTGCAGCCATCGCAGCGACTCCTTCATGCCACGCGCCCTTCCCCTCCTGACACCTCTGAAGGCACTTGGGAGGGCCTGTGACAGCAGGCGGTGGGGGGTGCTGTTTCCAGGATCCTGCCTCCCCTTCTCCAGAGGGTGGGCACAGTGCTGGAGGCCCCCTGAGCTGCTGCGCCACAGCTGCCAGCCTGCGCCCTCTGGGGCCGGGGCCTTAGGGGACTGCTGGGGGCAGTTCCAGGCCACAGCCATTTTCAGCACTGCGACTGGCAGGTGTCTGACTCACGGGCTCAGAGGCCTTTGAAGTCACCTGAGAGTGGAGTTTTCACACTACACGCAGTGGAGGCGTCGGGAGATCCTGGAGCTGGAGGAAAGGCAGACCTACGTACACCTTCACCCGTAGCAGTCCGTTTTCTGTCTGTTTTATATATCGAAGTTCAAGTAAGGTTTTATTTATTTATTTTTTAAAAGTTTTTCTTGCTTAAGAAAAGGAGTTTTAGGGCCAGCCAGTGGCGTGATGGTCAAGGCACTGGACCCCACATGGTTGATTTCATGGTTTAAGGCCTGGACTGGGAAGCTTGTGTCTGTGCCCAAAATCCCAAGAGGAGAGTGGAGGAGAAGGGATTGTGGTGTGGCCATTCTCCTGGGGGTGATTTCTCACTTTATCTCTCTCTTTCTCTCTCTGTCTCTGTCTCTCTCCAGTGAGCACACACACCCTATAGCAAAACTAAAATAAACAAACAAATGAAAGTTTCGAAGAACCACTGACCTTTCCCCAGGTAAATGAAGCCTGGTGAGAAGGACTTGCCCACTATTCCTGGGAATTAATGACTGCCCGGAGCCGGTGCGGGTCTCTGGCCACTGCACAAGCTCTCCTTCGGTGGAGGAGAAGGGATTGTGGTGTGGCCATTCTCCTGGGGGTGATTTCTCACTTTATCTCTCTCTTTCTCTCTCTGTCTCTGTCTCTCTCCAGTGAGCACACACACCCTATAGCAAAACTAAAATAAACAAACAAATGAAAGTTTCGAAGAACCACTGACCTTTCCCCAGGTAAATGAAGCCTGGTGAGAAGGACTTGCCCACTATTCCTGGGAATTAATGACTGCCCGGAGCCGGTGCGGGTCTCTGGCCACTGCACAAGCTCTCCTTCGGTCTCTGAGCTGCCTTGGTGGGGAGGGCACCATAGAAGCCCACTCCCGACCCGTGCCAGCCGCCCTCACCCTCCTTTGAGCCCCTGGCTTGGCTCCCGTGCACACACTGACACCCTCCGCTCTCCAGCCCCCCCACGCCTCTGCACTCAGCCCCATCTGTGTCTCTCACTTCTACAGGGATGTCTGGGCTTGTGAGTGAGTGTCAGTGTGGTTACCACTCCAAGTGTGTCTCACACCCAAGCTGCTGCCACCCAAGTCCTGTCCCCAGAGAGGGAGAGAGAAAATCGGGGGGAGTAGGCCAGGAGTAGGGACGCCGTAGCAGCCAGAAGGAAAACTGAGAGGTGGGAGGGAGAAGGGGCAGATAGAGAGGAGGAAAGAATCCAGGGGGCAACGAGAAAGGGAGACAGACCGACTAAGGTGAGCAGAAAGACTTAAATAGGAGTATAATGGAGAGCAAGACCTGACAGAAAAACGGGCAGGCATGGCGATGCGTCCTGAGGCTTGTGGGGAAGCCAGGCCTTCTCGTGTCGCTGGTGGGATGCAAACAGCTGAGGGAATTTGGCAATACCTGACAAAACTATTGGGTTGTTGGAAAATTCATGATGTAGTCTTCTATAGTTTTTTTAAGAGAGATTTTTGCTTTAGGGAGCATGTGGAAAGACACTGGAAAGACAGAGACAGAAAGAGAGAGATCACCCCCCCGAGGGGAAGATGGCCACGCCGCAGTCCCTTCTCCATTCTCCTCTTGGGATTTGGGTGTGCACACATGCGTGAGTTTCAAGATGCCAGGTCCAGAAACCATGGTCTGCCATGTGGGAGTCAGTGATGTAACCATTACGCCACCTGCTGTTCCCTTTTCTGTTTCTCTGCAAAAAGCGTCATGACTTTTCCAGTGACCCAATACATATGTCGTTCCACCCAGCAGAGGCACTTCTAGGAGTCTGCTCTGAGGATGTGCCTGAATGTATACGCACAAGGTCATGCCTTACCTCTTCTGGTGCTTGCACTGGTTCATCTGTGAGATGGCGTTCTAAGCCATGCCATAAAAGGATGAGGAAGACCTCTGTAAAACTGACCGGAAGGCCAGCTGGTGGCTGGCTCCCATATGGCCAACTGCATGGTTTGAGTCTTGGACCCTGTGGCTTGAGAAACATGCTGGGTACATGTGTGTACACGTCCAAAAATCCTGAAAGGAGAAATGGAGGGAAAGGAATTATGGTGTGACCATGGGGGTGCTTTCTCTCTCTCTCTGTTTCTCTGGTAAGCACATGCACCTTACAGCAAAATTTAAAGAAAAAAAAACTGATACAGAATTATTTACAGAATATACTGTTTTTCTTAATTTTACTTATTCATTCATTTAATTTGAACAGAGTGAGGGAGGGAGAGAAAGCAAGCCATCGATCGGGTCCAGGGCTTGAACCATGGTCAGCCATGTGGGAATGTCCAGGGCCTTAACCACCACGCCACCTGCTGGTCCCTCCAGAATATACTGTTAAGGTGAAAAACATGCAAAAGACCCTGTACAGCAGGCCATTCTACACGTAAGAAAGGGTATGAGAAATACGTCCATAGGCCCAGCCACTGTGGCACATGGGGAGTTCCACTGCTGCCAGGCTAGAGTCTGCAAGGGAGGCCCTGGTTCAGTTCTCAGGTCTTTTGTTGTTGTTGTCGTTTTCTTTTAATGTTTATTTATTTATCTATTTATTTGTTGTGATTTTCAATCTGCCTGGTCCAGGACTCGGACCACAGTCAGCCGTGTAGGAATCCAGTCTTTTTTTTTTTTTTTTTTGAGAGGTTTTTTGCTGTAGGGCGCATGCGCTTGTCAGAAAGACAAGGAGAGACAGACAGAAGGTGAGAAATCACCCCCCGGGGTAGGGGGGTGGCCACGCTGCAATCTCTTCTCCTTCATTTTCCTCTAGGGATCTTGGGCACACAAGCACACACTCCTGGCGTGAGTTTAAGCGACCGGGTCTGGGACTCGAACTGCAGTTGACTACATGGGAGTCCAGTGACATAGCCATTATGCCAATTGCTGGTCCCAGGAATCCAGAGTCTTAACTAGTACGCCACCTACTGGCCCCCTAGGTGGTTTTTATTGCTAGAGGATGCATATGCTTGCCAGAGAGAGAGAAGAGGGAGAGGGAGAAAGCACTCCCCCGTGGGCATGCTCATGTTGCAATCCCCCCTCCATTTCTCCATTCTGTCAGGATTTTGAGCATGTGTGCTCATATGCGCGGCATGTTTTTTAAGCTGCTGGAGTTGTGATTTGAACCAGGGTAGCCCATGTGCGATCCACCTTCCTGAGCCACTAGGCCACAGAGCTAGCTCTGGACTTCTATCATTTTTTTTTTTTTTGGAGAGATTTTCACTGTAGGGCGCGTGCGCTCGCCAGACAGACAGAGAGAGACATAGAGACAGAAAGCGAGAAATCACCCCCCAGGGGGGATGGTCACGCCGCAATCCCTTCTCCATTCTCCTCTCAGGATCTTGGGCACGCACGCACACGCGCCCGGCGTGAGTTTTAAGCCACCGGGTCCAGGACGCGAACCGCGGTCGACTACGTGGGAGTCCAGCGACATAGCCATTACGCTAACTGCTGGTTCCCTGGACTTCTATCATTTTTAAACCTCCGTCCCAACCTCCACCCTACCCCACCCCCCAAAAACGTAGGCGAGGAGTAAGACATAATGAAGATACAGGTAGAAAGTTATTTTGTGAAAGAGACAGGAGCGGGAGGAGAGAGAGATGGAGATGGAGAGGAAGAGAGACAGGTCTGGGCAGACACGAGGGCCGTAAGAGACGAGGAAATGTCACCTGCCCTGGAGCTGCGGCCCGTCATGGTGAGAGATGTGCTGCTCATGCAGTCTGGCACAGATCCGACTGATGGATGTTGGGGGGTCCCGTTGCCGGCGGCCTGTCACGTCCCCTCTGCTGATTGCTCCTTCCTGAGCTGGGCCCTGCTCCCCTCGGTACTCGTCACATGAACTCAGACCGAGGTGCTGGGGGTGGGAGGTGGGCTTGGGCCGGTGCCCCTGCTGAGAACGGTCAGCTCCTCTTGATGGGGTTTGCAGAAACAGAACCTCCTGCAGGCGTAGAGTGGGAGCTTGTTTTAGACCTGGTGGACTGGGGCCTGGGAAGGCAGCAGACAGCAAAGGCGTGATGCGATCACAGGTCAGGGGGGAGTACAGTTAGATCTCGCCTTCCAGGGCCTGGGCTCCCCTTCTCTGAGCCCCGGACCTGCTTCCTGGGGCGGGGGCGTGAGAAGACTTGGGAGACTCCTGGTTGAGTCTCAGAGGCTCAGCTCCCACCAACTTGGTGCACCATTGCACTGAGTCAGCCCCTCCTGTGCTCTCACCAGGCCCTTGCTTCCTCTCACCCAGGGGATGGGACCCCTCAGAGCCAGCAGATTGGTGGACCTGGGCGTCAAGGCCTGGGGCTGTGTGGCAGGGAGGGGGTGCTCTCGGGTCCTTCTGCCTCTAGGGCTCGTGAGAGCCTGGTGGTTGCAGGGGATGTGAAGGGACTGGGTAAGCCCTCCCCTCCTTGGAGCCTTGGTCGTGTTGCCTGTAGACTGGGACCCATGCTGCATGGCCCTTGGTCGTGTTGCCTGTAGACTGGGACCCATGCTGCGTGGGGGGCGCTGGGCAGCAGGGTACTAGGCCAGCCTTGGGAGGGCTGCATTTTAATCTTTTTAGGGTTTGCCTGTTCTCTGCTGCAAGGGCCAGAAGACCCTCAGGAGCATTCATTTATTCAACAACTAGTTATAAGGCCAGCCCCAAAGCCTAGTGGTTAGGGGAGCTGGGACCCACATGCCTGAAGGCAGACTGAATCCCAGCCCTGGTGGCTTGAAAAGCACACTGGGTGCATATGTGCGTGCCCCAAATCCCTACCAGATGGAGGAGAAGGGATTGTGGTGTGACTACACCCCATTGGGAAGTGTTCACACCTTCCATCTCTGGTTCCCCCACCTACCTACGTGAGGGCACATAACCTTTGACAATTTAAAAGAGCAACCAATCGTGAAACAGTGATTCGTGCCAGGCATTGTGCTGTGCACTAGGGAGAGAGAGGGCCTGCACTGTGCAGCGTCCAGTCTCATGGGAAGAGCAAATGATAAAACAATGAAGAAGGCGATTTTAGAGAGTGATGCAAGTGAAAGCAGCACCGTGTAACTCACTGTGCCGGGGTGGGCGAGTGGGAGACGCCCTGGGGACAGGCCTTTTGAGCTGCCAGTTAGAAGGACTGAGGAAGAACATTCCAGGTAACTGGGAGGGCCAGCTCCAAGGCCCCATGGGGAACAGACAGGGCTGCCACATGGAGGGACTTAAAGCAGGCCAAAGTGACCAAACTAGCCAGAGGGACGTGCCTTATAAGAAGAGCTGGGCTGAGGCCACCCCCATAGGGCCTAGGTGAGGGCCTGGCCGGGAGGCTGCCTCGTCCTAGGAGTGCAGCAGGGGATGGAAGAATCTGATTTCTGCCCTGAAAAGCTTTATCTGGCCCTATCCAGAAAGGAAAAGTAGTTGAGAGGGTGAGAGGCAGTCTGAAGACCCACCATTAGCAGTGAACTGCAGCCGCGGGCAAGAGATGAGGGTGGTTGGGCCTGGGGGGTGGGCTAGACAGAAGGAACCAAGAGGTCCTCAGCCCATCCGCTGCCCAGCCACGGGTACACTGCCCTAGGAAGTCCCTCCCAGCTGCCATGGGACAGGGTGGGAGGAGGGCTGGCTGCTGGGAGGGAATGTGGCTTTGTGCTTAGAAAACAAAGAACAGAGCTTGGGGCCCTCTTTTCCTGGGTGTGGGGCAGGCCAAGAGGCTGTTGACAGGACCAGAGGCGAATCTCAGAGCCGGGCTTGGCTGGAGCAGGCTGTGCCCCGAGGCATCGGGAGGCATAGGTGCCCAGGGAGGGACCCCAGAGCTCTCCCAGGGTGAGCTGAGGGGCTGCTGGACTTTGGACGGGGAGGACAGGAAGGAGCACAGAGGCAGTGAGGGGTGCTGCTCCAAACCCCCCATCCCAGGGAGTTGGCCGAGGAGAGAATTTGGGCAGAGTGCCTGGGACAGGGTGGGGGGACCCTGGGTGTCAGAGGTAACGGGGACCTCCAGGACCCTGACTGGCCTCTCTGCCTCATCTCCAGCCTTGCCGCTGAAGCTCGCCTTCTTCGCCCCAAGGTGGGGGCCCACCAGGATGAGCAAGCACCCGGGGGAGCTGACCTGTGACTTGGAGCGCAGCCTGCCGGCCGTGGCCTCCCTTGGCTCGTCGCTGTCCCACAGCCAGAGCCTGCCCTCACACCTCCTCCCGCCACCTCCAGAGAAGCGCCGGGCCATCTCCGATGTCCGCCGCACCTTCTGTCTCTTTGTCACCTTCGACCTGCTCTTCATCTCCCTGCTCTGGATCATTGAGCTGAACGTGAGTGGGGCCGAGGCTGGTTGGGTCACCCCGGCTTAGTGGAGGATCGCCTCCCATAGGGTTAAATAAAGAATGGGAGGGGAAGGATACCTGTTATCATCTTCCGGATGAAGAAAATGGAGTTCCAAGGGGTTGAGGCATTTGGCCAAAGTCGCTCAGCAAGTCCTGAAGGAGACAGGGTTGAACCAGACCCTTTGACTCCACAGGTCACTCCCTTGGCCTCTGCGCCATGCTGCCCCCTAGTGGCGATTCCTGAGAAAGGCGGAGCAAGGAGAAGCCTTAGTCTTTTCTGCCCTACGCGCTTCTCTGGCTCCAGTTCATCTGTCCATCCACCTGCCCGTCCATCCACCCATCCTTCCACCCATCCAGTCGGCATTTTCTGAGCCTCTGCTATGTCCCAGGATATTGTGCTAGAGGCAGAGGATACACGTGGGGAGCAGAACAGTGCAGACTTCAGTTTCTGGTGGCTGGGTGTCAGGGCCGTCATACTGATGGGAAAGCTGAGACCCAGCGAGGTCCAGGGCCGCTGGCAGAGCTCCTGAGGTCTGAGGGGTTCTCCTTTGAAGGCCCCATCGAGCATCAAAGCGAGCACGAACATTGACCCACATCCTACGTTCGGGCCATATTTTTCTACCAGAACAAAGCAGGAAAACACTTGGTCATTTTACCTTGGAAATGCTTAGCCCTGGCTGACTGCTCAGCAGTCGCCATGCGTACTTGGGAATTTTTAATCATTATTTATTTAATTGTATTAATTACTATTATTTGATTTGTCATAAAGCACATGCTCTTTTTTTTTTTTTTTCTTTAAGAACTATTTTATTTATTTATTTTAATTTGACCAGAGAGGGACAGAGAGAGACAGGGAAAGTGAGAAAGCAAGCTGCCAGGTGAGGGACTCAAACTGCAGTCAACCATGTGGGAGTTCAGCATCCTTAACCACTATGCCACCTGCTGGCTCCAAGGGCATGTGCTCCTTACCAGAAAGAGACAAAGCAAGCTGTGAAGTCCAGGACTCAATCCGCAGTCAGCCATGTGGGAGTCCAGCACTCTAACCACCACACCATCTGCTGACCCCATACTTGGAAATTCCGGCTAAGTGAAAAATCTAACCTACAAATTATCTTCCAGTGAAATGAACAAACCCAGAATTTTGAGTTGAATGACCATAGTCAGCATGATACTTCGTTTGGCAAACATTTCAGTTTTGTAGTGTGTAGTCTGGTTTTTGTGTCTCAGAACCTGTGTTTTTAGTGCCCTGACAGACTGTGCCGCACAGTGGTTACAAGGGCCCTGATGGGGTCATGTGACCAGCTCGGGGTCTTGCAGCCAGAGACTGGCCAAGCGGGACTGAAACTCAGCTCTTCTCAGTCCTGATCCAGACCGTTCTTGCCAAGGGAAGACCCAGGCTGAGGGAGGAGAGGGTAGAGGACATCTCCGAGGGATGGTGACTGTGGGGGTGGGCAGGGCTATGGAGTCCAAGAGAGAGCAGTCTGTAGAGTGAGAGGAAGGCTGGGACGGGATGGAGTGGGGTCGGGTGTCAGACCTGGGCCCTCGCCAGCAGGCCAGAGGACATGTGGCACTGGCTTTCGTGTGGCTCAGATACTGGCTCCCTCTCTGAGCATTAGAATCTCCTGGGAGCTTTATCAAGTCCCTGGTGCGTGTCCCACCCAGAGCATCGGGCTCAGTGACCTGAGCATCCAAGCTTTAACAACCACCTCCCCTAACTTGATGAGCTCCCAGGGATAGGAAGCCCCAGTCTAGGTGGTCGTGAAGGGTCTTCCTCCTTGGAGTTCCTGGGCTCAGTTTTCCCGAATCCCTCTGTTTCCTCCCTTCTCCAGAGGGACGAGTGTCCCCACCTGCAGGAGCCTAGGCTGCCACCTCGTTCCTTCTGAGGAGTCAGGCTGTAGTCCAGCTCCCATCCAGACCCTCTTGTGCCCTGGACCCCTGGACATTTGAGTCTAGTGCATTGTCTCAGGTTTCCGTTAAACCAGTGGGCTGGGGCTGGGGCAGGGGCAGGGCGCAGACACGTCTGCTCACTCTCCATGCCATTCTTCCCAGCAGTAGCGTGATGGATTTTGCCCATTAAGTACAAACCTAATCAGTTGATTTGCCACCTGGGGCTCCGTCTGACACCACTGCCCACCCAGGCCCCCACTGCTCAGATGGATCGTTGGCTGGAAAGATGGAACTACAGAGCCGGCAGGAAGGTGGAGTTACGCGAGGGGCAGGCTCCCTGCACCATGTCCTCCAGTCCTGTGTAGGGCACGTTGCCTCCAAGCCTACTCCATCTCAGGCAGTGCACTTGAACCCAGCCCTGCCCCCCTGGGCCACCTGGACCCTTAGAGGAGTGGCGTTGGTGCCTGGGCTGTTGGTCCCTCCCTGAGCTTGCTTGGTACTTTCAGGGCCCCTTTGAGCCCTGCCCTACCTCCCAGCCTTCTCCTCCTTCCAGGAAGTGGGATCAGCCCCAGGTCCTTCCCCCCCCCACCCCGCCAAGGTATTTGCCATAGGGAGTATGCACTCACTAGAGAAAGAGAGAGAAGGAAAGTGAGAAATTACCTCCTGGGGGGATGACCATAGAGCACTCCTCTCCTCCGTTCTCCAATTGGGATCCTGAACACACACACACATGCCTGCATGATCCTCAAGCCGCCTTGTCTGGGACTCGAACCATGGTCAGCCGTGTGGGAGTCTAACACCCCAACCACCAGGCCATGCTGCCTGCTGGCCCCAGCCTAGGATCTCAGTTCTGCCTGCAGAGTTCTCCCTGTCTCCCTCTCCCAGACCAACACGGGCATCCGGAAGAACCTGGAGCAGGAGATCATCCACTACAACTTCAAAACGTCCTTCTTTGACATCTTTGTGAGTGACCTGGAGTTCTGGGACTCTGGGGTGGAGACGGAGCAGGAAGTGACTCCCACAGGGTTCCCTTTCCACAACACATGTCCCTCGTCCAGGCTGATCGGGGAGCCTTGGCCCCATGCACAGGGAACCTCCATCCTCCAAGTTTCCTCAGTGAGGCCCCACCTTCAGAGAGCCCCAAGTGGGATGGGAATGACCTCTGTCTAAGCAGGTCACTTCCAGATTGTCCCAAAGAAAGGCTCAGCCATTCTCTCCTGTGGTGTCCACGCCCACAAGGGAACATGGGGGCAGGACTAGGGGAGAGGTCGGTGCCACCTACCCCTGCGATGGCCTGGCGCCCTCCCCGCAGGTGCTGGCCTTCTTCCGCTTCTCTGGACTGCTCCTGGGCTACGCCGTGCTGCGGCTCCGGCACTGGTGGGTGATTGCGGTAAGGCGCCACTTCCCCTGGCAGCTCTCGCCTGGGCTCTGGTGCAGGGGGTGGGAGGGATGAGGACTCACTCCGGCCTCTGCTCTCTCTCCCTCCTCCCTTCCCCGGGCAGGTCACTACACTGGTGTCCAGTGCATTCCTCATTGTCAAGGTCATCCTCTCTGAGGTCAGTGGGCCAGGGTCTAGCTGATCCGGTGGGCATCTGACTCTAGGGACGAGCTTCTCCTGAGAAAGGAGTGTTTCTCTGATTTGGGGTGTCTGTCCTTATTGTCAGGGATGGGATGAGGGGGATTCATCCTGTGACTTTTTTTTTTTTTTTGAGAGATTTTCACTGTAGGGCACGTGTGCTCACCAGACAGACAGAGACATAGAGACAGAAAGCGAGAAATCACCCCCCAGGGGGGATGGTCACGCCGCAATCCCTTCTCCTCCATTCTCCTCTTGGGATCTTGGGCACGCACA